TGAATATGTTTCAGTTCCGTTCCAGTTTTAAGGGACAACTTAAAAAAAAAAAAAAAGTGGGGAGAAAGAAACTGATAAAATGATTTAGTTCATGGAAGGACTGAAAAAGCTGAAATTACATATTATGCCCCATCTACTCTTGCATAAGCCATTGAAATGGCTGGAGACTTAATTGGACTAATCTTCCATTGCAGTTATGCGTGAGCCTTAGGGAGCCATGAGGTGCATATGGGCCAAAGCACCAGCCTATGAAAGCAGGACAAATTATCCAGCAGCATTTTTAAAAATAGTAGGTGTCCAGGTAAGAACAGCCAAGAGGCTTGACTTGCATTTGAAAAGCATTAAGGGCAACTGAGAAATTTAATTTGATTTATTCATCCAGTGGACTTTAAGAGGTATGAAAAAAGGGTAGAGGTGACTTCAGGCAAGAGAAAACTTTCAGTGGAAAACAAAAATCTATAGAGGACTTTAATGTAGACTCATTGCTTACACTGGTTTTGTTTCTCTGCAGCTCCTTGTTTGCTGTGAGGTTACTGATAGACCACGCTACTGCAAGTGGATTCAGGCCTCAAAATTCTGTCTGGTCAGAACAAAAATCATATTGCATGCTGCATATTGATTTGAACTCCAGATACTGGAGCAAATGGGAGTCTCATGCTATCAGTATTCTTCAGATATTTACTTTGCTGCCTTCCACTGTTTAGAACACCCTGAAATCACCAGCACATTTACTGAGTTGAGGTTTCAAAGCAGCTTAGGAACAGTAACAAATCACAGTTTTTAGCACTGCTGAAGGTTGGAAGAATTCTATTACCAAGGGTGTGCTTTCTGCATGCATTTGAAGCCTCTGAAATGACCCGTCATGTATAAAAGTGTCCTAGTTTTTTTCACAAAGACTTTGTTAAGAATTAAACCTAACTCTTGGGAGAAAAAATGAGTTCAGCATACCAGAATACCCGTCTTCCTAATTCTTACCATGCTGCAAACTGAAATCCCAGGCCTGCCTGTATATTACAAAACTTTCTCCATCTTGAAGAAAGCTTTTATTATGTAGTGCCTATAAGCACAATAATACCTCTGCATATTGAGACAATGCAGAGGATACCAAAACCCACCTGTTAGATTTTTTCCTCTGTATTGCTGACATCTTCTTGGTTCTGATAAACATCTGGGTGCTTGGTTTTCCAGAAGTCCCCTAAGACATAGAATCATAGAATGTCTTGGGTTGGAAGGAAGCTCACCCAGTTCAAACACCCTGTCTTAGTCAAGATTGCCACCCCCTAGATCAGGCTGCCCAGGGCCCCATCCAGCCTTGAGCATCACCTGGGACGAGGCATCCACAGCTTCTCTGGGCTGCCTGCGCCTGTGTGTCACCAGCCTCTGAATAAAGAATTTCCTCCTAACATCTAAAGTAAATTTCCTCTCTTTTAGTTTAGAACCATACCCTTTTGTCCTGTCATTATAGACAGTGTACAAAGTTGGTGTCCCTCCTCCTAATAAGTTCCTTTTCAATACTGGAAGGCTGCAGTGACGTATCCTGGAGAACAAGCCCAGCTCCTTCAGGCTGTCTTCTTAAGAAAGGTTCTTCAGCCCCCTGATCAATGTCCCCCTTCTGGACCCACTCCAGCAGATCCATATCCCTCTTGTGCTGGGGGCCCTGGGCCTGGACACAGTATATCAGATGGGGCCTTACAAGGCAGAGTATAGGGGGACAATCACCTCCCTCTCCCTGCTGACCACCCCTCAAGTCTGTTGGCCTTCTAGGCCTCGGCAGCATACTGCTGGCTCATGCTGAGGTTTTTGTCCATCAGAACCCCCAAGTCCTTTTCCACAGGGCTGCTCTCAAATGAGTTCTTCTCCTGGTCTGTACACATATCTGGGATTGCCCTGACCCAGGTTTAGCACTTTGCACTGAGCCATATTGAACCTCATTAGATTCACAAACATGGCGTAGATGATAACTGTATGGAGAGGTTGCTGACATTTCACTTTTGCCGTTTCTGCCCCCTCTTTCCAGGGCTAGTTCCCTTCCCGATGGCCTGAGGGCTCTGCTCAGTCTGCCAGAGCCCATCTGCCACGTGCTGAGTTCCCAGAGTTCAATTTGTGAGGTTTTTGCTGTGTTGTTCTTTAAAGTACTAGCTTGGCCTTTCTAATACATTTTCAATGGTTGGGATTAGCAAAGCTTGTAAGAACATAACAGACCTGTCAGGTCTACAAGTCCACTCGCCACCTCCACCCACTTACATATATTTTTAAATAGCTAATTAGGAGATAATGCCAGTGGAACCAAATACTGTTACAAGATAATGATCTCACACTGCTACAAAAATGTTAAGTGGGAATGTTTATTTTCAAAGGGAAGAAACACTGATCGTGTGCCTAATCCTATAATTCTTAAGCAAGTAAAATTCCTGTAGATTTCAGCAAAGCCTGAGGTGACAACATCCTATTACTGTGATAGTTTTCTGGATACCAAACGGCTGTAAGTGATGCCGTCATTTTCTCTAAATGACACTGGTGCAGTATTGGAACAGATGTTTCCCTTACCTTTATTAGCCTGTTGTATCTTCTAACTTGGAGGACAAATTCTGCATGTGCTTCATTGCACCAACTTAGATGATTTTTAGATGTGCTTTAGGAAGCACTGAGCTGTGGTTTGGATGAAGTTATGCTTATTTTTAACTTCCTGACAGCTCATAATGGCGATGCGCAAGCCTGTGTTGCTTCTGCAGGTTCCCTTTGGTACACTGAGGATTACCTACATTTAAATCAGAGGGCTTTTCCTCTATCCTGCAGGCAGTTCAGAAACAAGGGCTGTCTTAAACTCGCCTGTCAGGAATAAATCACCCATCATTCTGGAGGGATGAAGGAGTACATGTGGACAACAGGCACAAGTCCATCAGCTGCTCTGGCATAACTATCCCATGCCGCTCCTTCCAAATAAGAGATGAGGTACAATTTGGGGCAGCCTGACCCCTCTGTCAGGCTCATCCTGATGTCTGTGTTCCCATCATAGTGTTGGTGGAGGCTGCTCTGTGTAAATCCAGCTTGGGTCTTCTCTGGCTCTGCAGTGAGGCAGTGCTTATGGCATGGGTTCATCTGCCTTCACTGCTTTTTTCCTCTGGCCTCCCTTTAGATTCAGTGTTGTCCTACAGATAGGTGAACACTGCACTGGGAACTTGAGGCAGGTGCAGAGCTGCTTTCAGAGAAAAACCTGTCAAAGAAAGTATGAAAGTTTATCCTGGATCAAATCTACTTTCACGACTTGTTAGTTGCACTATGGAGAAGGTGGCCAGTGGTTTTTAGAAATTACTGCTGCTTTCACAATTAATGAAGATTCATCATTCCATTAGATCATCTCTAACCTGCTGTAATTGTTCTGATTTTTATTTTTTACCTCGTTCTTCAGTTCATGTCTAAATACAAGAAGATGTTTATATTGCATACATTCAGCTTTAATTGGCCCTTAAAAGAAGGTGTTGATTAGAATCTTCTCAACATCAACAGCTCGCTCGCACAACATTCTCTAATTACTGTTTATTAATTTAGTTCAAGTGGCATAGTTGAAAGCCCTGCTCAGATGGGAGAAGTAAATTGTCACTGGTATTGAATATGTAAATTATGTGCCGGGTAAGTTTCCATGAAGAATGTTTAAAGTTAAATGCTACGCACATAGAGCCTTCTAGTTTCATCTAACCCGATATGACAGCTTTGTAAGAATTGTCATGAAAATTTACCAGCCCTGGCAAAAAACTGCTTGCCTATATTTTCCTTTTTACTATTAACATAATCATGATGATAATAGCAATTTATTTGCTAGTCAAAAAATAAATAAAAATCATTCACACCAACTGGATGGAGGTTTGCAAGGCTGCCAGTTGAATGTGAACTGTGCGTTGCAGTAGTATAGACATTCAGCAGCCTGGATTTGTTGCCCTAGTGCAGTGACCCTTCCTTCTCTTTAATTAGCTTATAAAGTCAGAATTTCTTAAACAAAGTGCTCATTAAACATTGCCTTGTTATATTACTTTAAAATGCAATTAAAAGTTTTAAGATTGCCGCAGAGTTTGCATACCGTTGTCAGTGCCCATGTCACTCGCTATCAATTTCCACCCACTCACATAGATTGGAGGCTTCCTGTTAAATATAGATGGCACTCCATAGCCTCTGTGTATAGAGAAGGCATAAAGCAATGTACTGATGAGGATGATGTGACTCCATCATATACCTGAAGGAAGAAGGGAATGGAGGGGAGGATATTCTCAAGGTAGGAGAACCTGGGAGTTTTCACTGTCCTTCACTCTGCACTTGTCTCTGTGTGTTCCTGAGAAGTGTGCAGCTTCAAATCTTCCCAAAGAAAGTTGCATGGAAATACTTTGCAGTTATTGTATTATGCATCCGAAGCAATGAGACGAGACAGTGCTCTCAAAGGGAAAGAAAAATATCCAGTGCCTGAACTGTGCAGGGGCCTTCACCCAGTCCTCACACTCTTGCTGGCTGCTGTTATCATGAGCAGCACTAATCAATTCCAGGAAATCTCCACACCAAGCATTATGTCACATGTGGTTACATCATTCTCTATAACCTCTAGGGCTTCCTGCTGACATCTTCGGAGCTCTTATACTACCAACTGGTATAAAAAGAAGTGCCAAACAGTATTTTTAGCCATTTGAGTCTGCCAAAAGGAATCCAAATGTCTCCATCTTGCGCCTTTCACCTGCTGATCTCATCTTTGCTGTCAAAACCAAAGCAATGCTCTGTGGGTTTCCCCAGGTGTTTATATAAAGGATGTCAGGAGCATGTGAGAGGGTTTTTGAAACAGAAGGTGCTAATGCCACTGCAAAATTTATTTATTTTTAATGCCTACCGGATTGCTAATCCAGCCTGTCAGTTGTGTAACTTCTGTTGTAACTTCCACTACAGGAGGTTATCCCTTTTTTTTTTCCTGTATTATTTCCTAGGAGGTGTTACTTACCAATGTGAATTATGTTTTGCTTCAGGATTGACTTCCAAGTGCTGTTCTGTGGGGCGTTTCCCCCTTCCTCCCTGCAGGACCACCTCACAGGTGTTCAGGGGACAGCAATATGCTACTGCTTCTCCTGCCAAAGTCACTTTCCCAGCAGTTCAGTTGAAAGAGGTAAGGCTCAAACCCTATGCTGCAAGATTATTCCTTCTTGAAACCACTGCAATGTCTCTTGGTTTGAGTCTTGTTTATTATTATTATTTTCTGGTTTATGTCTTCCTTTCATTTGAACAGTTTGATTTTTGTGGCTGTTTCTGTGTTTGTTCAGTGCTGCAGTAGATAACAACAACATGATTAAATTCCAGCTCTGACTGTTGCAACATAAGCGCTCTGCCTTCATTATCCTTGGTGCCTAAAACTATTTGATCTCTAATATGTTCGCCTGCAAGTGTGCCTCATTTGCATGATGAGGCTAACTGGTGAAGCCTGGTTGCATATTGGTCTCTGATTTCAGTTTCTCTTCAATCAGATGCGTCAAACAGAAGGAACTATTAGAATTGCCAGCAACTGTATATTTTTTCTACGAATCATGCTAGAATACTAGGATTCTCAGGCATTCTTATGAGGCTGGACAAATCCACCAATAAAAGGCATGAGAGGGATTCTCACGGAAAGCCATTTACAAAGCAGGGCTGTGCTGGGGATTGCTGGTCTGCTGTGGTGGCACAAGCTGTTAAGACCAAATCCAATAGCTGGACACCCTCCTTTGCTAAGCAACACTTCCCATAGCCACTGGCCTGAATGAGGGACGGAGCTGTGTCACCTAGCAGAGACCTCTCCCTGTGCCCAGCACAGCCAGGTCTGCCTTCAGCCTCTCTGAGGTTCAGACTATGCCCCAGCTTGCGGCCACCCTGCCTGGGTGCTTAGACCCAACTGACACTTATTTGGCTGCGCGGCCTTCTTGGGTTTCACTGCCCAAAGTTTGCAGGGAGAGAAAACATTTTTTCTTACCTCAAGCATTTGGGAACACGAACCTTTCTTTGCGTCTAAAATCGAAGCAGAAAAGAGCTAAATGCAAATAGAGAATAGAGACGCAACGGTCCTGAGATTCATGGCAATAGCACTGAAGTTGCCTGTTTCCTTTATGGATCATGCTTAGGGTAAGCTGGTGGGTTCTACATAGTTTTCAGTATTATCTTAAGAAATGTGATTTGACCCCTTGCAACATCCCTTGTTTCTCCCATTACAGAATTCTGCTTCTTAAGTGTTGTAATGTATACCAAAATCTGTATTTTCATTTAAGACCATTTTTAATTGAACTAATTATCTTTGTGAACAAAGAAATGTTTCTTATTGACTCAAATGAGTTCTAGATTGAGTCTTCATTTCACACATAAGAATGACTGCTTTCTTTTTTTCTTGGGATAGGACAGATAGCAAGAAACCAAACGGTGCAGAGGCAAACAAAGGAACCCTGAGGATCCCATCAGCAGTGATTGCTTTGCACACGAACGGTATTTCTTCCCCAGCATATACTTCCAAGAATTTTTTAAAATGTCATTCATATATCATCTGCACTAGCAGACAATAGTTGTTCCAGAGAAGCTGTTGCTCTCTATTAGGTCAATGATCAGTGAACTAAACATTTTCTACTTAGGCCTTCATATGATAAAAGCCTAAGAGCTTTGAAGGAGCCATTACAGACTATTGTCTAGAAGAAATATCCATTTGAAAATTCTGCAATTATGTACTTCTACATAGCGTGTAAAAGGAGCTCTGGACCCATTATGGGTTATTGAGTAAATAATGTCTTTTTAAAAGTGTCTGAGTAATTTATACATAGCCTGTATTGGCAGCAAAGAGTGATTGTAGAATAAACATTGTGTCTTCCTTTTTTAAAAAAATCTCATTTAAATCCCTAAATAGCAATTAAAAAAAGAAATCCCTGATGCAGTTTCAGTTTTTCAATAGTAGTCAGTAGCTAATGTCTCTGACTTTACTCCACCGTATTGCACTGAGCCAGTTTTCTCTGGTGTGTGGTTTTTGGTTTTTTTGTGTGTGTGTGGTTTTTTTTGTGTTTATTGGATAGAAAAGGCTTCATTATCAAATATGATACAGAGGTGTCCAGAGGCCTCTGAAAGTTCAGATCCACAGTCATCAGACATGCCCATAATCAGGAACAGCCACTCATCAGAAGAGCCAAGAGTCCAGAGAGAAAAGCCATGAAGTCGGTCCTTGTTTCAGAGAAGAATTGAGAGGAAATGTGTTGTGTGAGATCACAAACCTCTATTCTCTTGAGCAAGTTTGGTTTCTTGGCTTTATGTTTAGACCTTCTGTAGAAAGGCACCACGTGAGATCACCATTTCTGTGGATCCTCAGTGCTAATGCTTGCAACAGTCTTGCTCCTTTCTAAGATGTCCACAATAGCTTTGCTCCAGACTACTGCGCTTTCAAGCACAGTCACTGGTCAAAGCAGATGTGAAAATACTGCAATTCAAAATAGCTATATTGCAACAACAGTGCTAAAAAGCAAACTTCTGTTCCTATGTGCGGTGTAGTCCTTCATTTCATTTATCACGTTACTATCTACTGCAGTGGAGAAAAGAAGGCTGCGGGGTGACCTCATTGCAGCCTTTCAGTGCCTAAAGGGAGCCTGCAAAGAGGAGGGGAATCAACTCTTTGAAAGGGTTGAAAACTGCAGAACGAGGGGAAATGGTTTCAAGTTGAGGGGGGGAGATTTAGGTTGGATGTCGGGTGGAAATTCTTCACTGAGAGAGTGGTGAGGTGCTGGAACAGGCTGCCCAGAGAGGTTGTGGATGCCCTGTCCCTGGAGGTGCTCAAGGCCAGATTGGATGGGGCCCTGAGCAGCCTGGTCTAGTATTAAATGGGGAGGTTGGTGGCCCTGCATGTGGCAGGGGGGTTGGAGGTTTGTGATCCTTGAGGTCCCTTCCAACCCTGGCCATTCTGTGATTCTGTGATTCTGTGAGTTTATCTTCACATCTCCAAATACCTGTTAGGCCAAGCAATTTGGAGATGCCACATGGAGACTACAGTATTTATATATGCTTAAAAATCATACAGGGATCCTTACCTGAGGGTACAAAGTAAAACAGTTCTCTGCTTATGGTGATGCTCCAGCCTTAACTCTTTTATGCAGATTTCCCTGGCATAAGTTAGAGATGAAGTCACTTAATTTGTTGTTCTTGAATCTGTGTCCAGACCTGTAAGTGGTCTTTCTCAGAAAATACCCTAAAAATCAGCAGGAAGCAGACATCTGTTAATAGGACTGCCAGGGGTTCTGAATTCCCTTTTTGGAGGCTATGTAATCCCTATCCCTGCTGTATGAATCCATGTGCATGTTCAGAACAGATCGTGTGCCTCCCATAGCTATGCTGGTCAGTCACACCTCAAGAACATAGTCTTTAGATCTAAATTTGAGTCATTGTATACAAAGTGTTTTCAATGCAGTGAACAGAAATGTGGCTTTTTGGCTGCCCTCTGAGGAGATTAAAAGAGATAAGTATCTGTAGCAAGGCCACCAACAGATGAGATTCTCTTTTTTAATATATTTGGAAAGAAAAAAAGGGGGAAGAAAGAATAAATGCAAGGATGCCAAATTACACACAGCTCAAAATAAATGAAAGGGAGTGCCTTAATGAAGAGACAGTAAGGTAGCAGTAAAAGAAAAGATGAAGTGAAAAATTGGTGAAGGGGAGATAATAAAGCCTGAAATTAATTGAGAAGAAACAAGGTGAAAGGCATAAATACATTTAAGTTGTATATGAGTAAGGTATCTCAGAAAGAAATCAGTTTCTCACTATTCAGCTGTATTTGTCACTTAGAAAGTGTTGGGATAATTGACTGAAGAGGTGATGAAGTCTTCATCAACTGAGGATTTCAGTGACAAAGTGGTCAAAAACATGGGCAGTACTGTCAGTTATTGAACCGTCGATGATTTCTTCCAGGTCCATTTTCTACAACCTCACCATCCCAAAGAATGTATTAAACTGGGAATGAGAGTGGTACCTCAGTTGTGTGATTATGGGAGACTTCTTTCTGGCTCTGTTACCTCCTGGCTGAAGTTCTGAAGGTCTCACAGAGTAAATAGAGCATATACTTTGAGATGAGGAAGATGAATACATAGGGTAAAACCAAGAAAAGGAACTGGTTGATCAAAAACATTTTCTTCTCAGATATGGACCGAAGGCCACACCCCTTACACCTTCCTACTCGTAATGAAGATCCCTACTCTGCAAAAAATACATAGTTTGGCTTTGATACAAAATCAGAGTCCTCATAACATGAGACAAAAGATCCTGGGGCCCTTCTTGCAAGAAGAGAGTTATGAATTTTTCTGATGTGCTTTTATTAAACCTAAATAATTCTACTTTTTTTTTTTTTTTTTTTTTCCAAAGAAAATTCCTCATAGTTTTAGCCAAAATCATTCTTTACTTCCTCTGCTGGCTTCTTTTGAATGGTGGGTAAAGAGAAGTCGCAGGTATGAAGCGGTCTGGGATTCTTCCAGGCTGCTGATTACTGATACGCAAACCAACAGTCATCACTGCAGACTAAAACAAATGTGAAACAGGCTTTTAAAAGATAAGTCTGGGCAGGTATCATTTTAGGATGTAAGAAAGACTAATTATCCCATTTTGTTCATCTTTTTCAGGGCTTGCTGGGAGGACTGACCAAACCTCAGTGATAACATCAGTGCTCCCCAGCTGAAAGTGGGAAGCTTGTATTGCTCTACTGTTGTCATAAGAAGGCACAGACTTTGGAAGCAGCAGCTCGTTCCCCTTACAGATTTGCAGTGTATTCTCCTTTTTTCCATTCTGTACCATTGAGTGTGATGATGGTAACTGAAGGAAACTTTTGTTTTCTTTGTTTGTTTTTCTGTTTTGTTTTGTTTTTCCCTGACTTTATTTTTGAGATACTAATTTCATTATTTGAGGGTGTGTGTAAGATTCTGGAAGCACATTTTATATCTGCTGTGCTGTGAGATCTTTGGTATGGTATTGACTCATTCATTGGCACCTGAGAGAGGTTTGGGGAATTCAGCAAGCTTTCAACAATCCAGTTTGAGAGACTACACAGAATTATGTCTCGCTCAGGTTCGTCCTAATTTTATTAGATTTCCACCATTTCTAATTGCATAAACATATGCAGCCAAGTGTACAGATGGGGACTGGGAAGACGTACAAGGACACTCAGAGTCTGTAGTCAGCTAATTGGTGGACTAAGTAATAGGGCACTTGGAAAGATTGATAATTTTTTTTCAGAGCATTTCAGGAGAAAATTCTGTCCCCGTTAAAACTGTGGCAATCAAGAGAAGAAAGAGCAGTAGATTTTTTTGGAAATGGAGGAAGAGATGAGCGTAAAAATTTGATGCAGAAAAAAATCCAAGAGGAATTATGTTGTTATGGGCAAGATCTGCTGTTTTAGCCATAGAAAGAAGGATAGAGTGTTTCAAAAACATAGAACAACTGGCTTGATCCATATGGTGACATCAGAAATCTTTTGATCAGGGCTAAATACAACAGTTTCAAATATTGCCTGGGTAAATGAGAAGTCATTTAGTATGAACACTGTTACTGGTAGGAAATGCCAAATTGTATAATGTTTTCAGAAATATTTTATATTTTCTTTTGGAAAATAAATGTTTTTGCTAGGACTAGAAAAGGTATTGGACCACAAATCCCATTTCTGGTCAAATGATACCATCTGAGGTACTGGCTGTTTATATGACTGCCTTCACATAAAGTAACACTGCTGTCCATTCTTGATCAGGAGATGCTGCTGTTGGCTTATTCCCTACCATCACAGCAGGAGGGGACAGGAGGGAAAAATTTGCTCAGTTTTTTGTTATGATCCATCTTCATCCATGATATGGCATCTGCACTATGGAATTCCCCCTGAATGAAAGGGAATGACAACGTCTTCACCTCCTGAAGACAGGATACAGCTCTCAGACTGAATTAGCTGCAGCTGGATAGCTTTTTGAAATCTCCACAGTTATCAGACCTGGAAGATTTTTCTATCGTGATGGCCTGGGCTAGGCATTTGGTGGGTGAGTAAACCATAATTTGTTTTGGTTTTCCTTATGAAGTAAGTGTAGAATATGCAAAACTAGCTGATCACATATTTGGACCTGGGCTTCTCACAAAAGTTCTGCAAAACCCTCTCAAATGTCTGAATATTTACTAAGTAGATCATGAAATATTTTCCAACAACAAAAATACAAATACAAAGATACAATAGAGTAATCATTTTGGGATGTGGTTATTATTTTCTTCTTCCTCGTGTTCAGGCAGTAACATGCAAACTGACCACATCACTGTAGTGAAATTGCTGATTAACCTTTTGACTCTGACAATTGGGACTTCTCTTAACACCACTTGGTAATGCAAAAGACCATTAGTAGTTAATACTGGGACACCCCACCTCCAGATTTCAAAAGGTTAATGAAAAATCAAGTATCTTGCTTCTACTGGGAAACTTGGAAACCTTCCCACCAAACATTTCATTTTTTGTGATAAATAAGCCAGACCGCTTCAGCTGAGAAAGACGGGTGTTTTGCTAGGGTGTACAGCTGTTAATTGAAAAAGATTCTGTTATGCCTGTTCTTCTGGACATAGATAAAAGAGAGATTTGTTGGTGAACTTTAGTTGGTCCTGAACACCCCTTTGTCCAAATACACTGCTCAATAATAACGCTTTGTTCTGTCTGTAACAGCCATGGAAGGATTTTGAGTAGAATACTCATTTTCTTTAAGTCATATCTGCCAGTGATCATTCTTGGCTTAAGATCAGCTGCCATTTATGTGTTTTATGAAAATATAACACCAGTTTTATGCTCAAAACTATTCTTTTTTAGGTAAAAGCTTCAGCACAAACTGGTTCCCCATATGTACCATAAATGCTATTTATCACAGGTTTTGGTCTTTAAAACAGAAAGATAATGTTAAAACATTTTCATTATCCTTTCCTTACAGCTATCATTCACAAACCATCTTTTATAATTATGGTACTAGGACATTTACATAACTGGGAAAAAGGTCCTTAAACTACATTTCTATTATGTTTGGCACTTGTGTGAAAGGATATTATATTCATGTGCATTAGAGATTGCTTATAAAAGATCAAGACAATAATAGCAGATCAGACGATAAAGGTTCCCTTTTCTCCTCCCAGACAGGCTGTCTCTGACAGAAGAATACAGTTCATCAAAAGTGTCTGCAGGTTGTCAAACTCAGTGAGATTTGGGGACACACGGAGGCTGTCATGGCCAACAAGAAGATTTTCTGTAGGGTTCTGCCATCATTCACCCTCAGGAAATAATCACTCACTACATTCTGCATGCTCTCATGATAGAGCTCTATTTGAGAGAAAAGAGCCATTTTATCAAAGGACAATATATCCCTTCTCTTGGTCCATGCAGCTTCCATTATCAGACCATAATAAATCATATTTATGTTCTCAGTTAATAAGACTGATTACAATGCAGGTTACAGGCATGGGAAAAGCAAAGCAGGTGAAAAGATGTTTTAATGAAAATATGATAAGCAAACAGCTTCTTGTGAAAATTTCAGGCTGTTATTTGTAATGATCACAGGCAATTTTTGATACATCTTCTTTAGCAATGGTTTAAGCTGCATAAATTGGCTTGCCACTTTATACGTTGAAATAGGAAGAATCCCAGTGTCCTTATGTTGTCTAGAATCATTATATACATTATAAGCATAAAATGAGTTTAATGTATGTGCTTTGAAAAGAAGGGGAAAACAGAAAATCAGGGAGGACTGATTTTAATGCTGCTCAAAATGATTTTGAAATTTTCTGTTCATCTTTGTTACTAACGGTGCATTTTCCATGAAATTTAGGAATGACATGTGGTGCTTTCATCTCCTTAAAATTAATATACTTCTCTTTCTGTTTTCCTCAATTTCTTCAAAGTTCTTTTTAGAACACTGTGCAAAGAGACAGAGAGAAAATTCTCCACTCGATGAGTGAATATATCTGTTATTAATGCTGGGGGGAGTTAAGTGTGTGCTTCTAGAGGAGAATATACCCCTGCATTAAATATTGAAATAAACAGTATTAAAGAGGTGCAAGGATATTTGGCTGCAGCACACCTGATGCATTCAAGGGCCAAATTCCTTAGAATCTTTTAAAGTGATTAAGATCTTTTCTGTTAAGAGTTCTCCAATGATTTCAGAGTATAACTGTACCTAAATAGCTGATGAAATGTCCTGCTCTTGTCTTTTGAAAAGCTTTCTTTTATGTTTTATTGTTTTCTTTTTTGTTGCTGTTGTAGTCATTTGGTTTATGTTGAGCATCATATTTTCAAGACAAAGTTAAAAATTTAAAGAATAATTTCCTCCTGCTAGCACGTAATGCTGACTAAGTATTTCAAAATCTACAGCACTTGCAGAATGCAAGCATTATGCTTATAATTTTTATAATGATTCTAGACAATATAAGAAGGACACTGGGATTCTTCCTATTTTGATATATAAAGTGGCGAGCAAATGCAGAAGTCTCCATGGTGTTGTGTGTCTGCAGGAAATGTTCTGATACTTCTAAAACTCTCTTAAACAAATGTTAAAGCTTTGTAATGGACCTGGCAATGGAGAATGACCATGAAATTCCCTTAACCCTTATAGGGCACTTCAGCAGGAGAAGTGATCACACGAGAAACAATAAACTGCTCTTCAAAGGCGGTATCCTGATATGACAACAGGCGTAGATAATGCACTTCATGATGGAACTGCTTGATACAGGGAAAAACATGTTGTAACTGCCTTCAGAATGAAAGGGGTTTAAAAATGCTGCTTGCCAACTCCAAAAAAAACAGAGCTGCTATTTCAGTTAAAGGCCAGTGGATTGTATTTTTCATGTCAGTTTTCACTAACCTCAAACATCACTGTTATGACAGACTGTCATCCAACCAGACCAGCACTGTGATGCCATTCAGGCAAGAAGGAAGAAAGCAAACACAAAGGAAACTTAGAAGTCCGAATAGTGAGAGGGGGTGTCTATGAGTGCACTTTTGTGCAGTGATACTGATTACTGAAAATGAAACACTTAAAAGAAAATAAACCCAAAAAAGTGCTTTCTGAGCCATTGGTGTTTTCTTGCCTGCCCATTTCTCTTTGTTCTGTTTCATGACATCAGCCTTAATGGTTGAAAGGATGTTCTGGGCCAGATGTCAATCACTATGTCTAACATAAACAAAAATAGCTAAAAAGACATGCCAGCATCTTCCTTTTGTTTTCCCATTAGCTCCATTTTTCTTTTCAGAGGCTGACAAAAAATTACTGCCTCCGAGTGAATTCAGTAATGTCACTATATATCTAATATTTAGGAGACCTTTTGTTTTAGCTTTACTGGGCTTAACCACAAAAGACACTTGACATTGACAAAGAGTCTGTCAAATACACGATGATCAGTGCAATGAAATCTCTCATGACAGAAGGGCACTATTCTGCACCCCCAGCCCGCAGCAGCCTGTCTGAGCAAAATGTGCCGGAGCACACGCAGCAGCTGAACCATTGCAGAGCAGGCCATAAGCTGAGATGTGTCTTGTTTAAAGTGTCATAGTATATTAGTGTAATTAAAACCGCCAAAAGAATAGAAAAGATAGATGGAAATGTTACATTACTTGTTTCTAGAGATTAACCTCCAGCCAGAACTGAAATACAGAGACACATTTTGCATGTCTTAGAGCTCTGATATGGAAGAAAACAAGCCTGAGAGTATGTCTCTTGAAGTGTGAGACATGAAGTCATAGTTCCTGTATTTACACAATAAAGCAGAAATAGCGTTTCAGACAGGCACGCTGTTTTCTCTCTGATTACAGCTCCCGTTGTGGCTGTACTCTGCAAAGCAGCTGTATCATCTCTCAGCTACTTCCCTTTTACTCTCTCTGCCTTCATGCTTGGAAGGTCTTGAGGACCCTTGGGCCCACGAATGTGCTGGTGTCAATGCTTTCTGCTCCCTTGGCATCTGCCAGTGTTGTGTGGTTCTAGCCTGGAGGCAGAGCACCCTGTCCGCTCTGGTGGCTGCAGAAGCCAGAGCTCAGCTCCAGACTCAGCAACAGCCAGCTAGGAAGATGTTTGAAGAATCTGACCTTTGTATATACCAGGCTGCGTGCTTGCTTCTCTGTTGAGTCTATAGATAGAACTGCATGGCTTTCTGAAATGGACCCTGAAAATTATGTTCTTGGCACTGTATGTTTTCCTTCCTGTGCATCATTACCTGTGATAACTATTCAAGCCTAACTAGTTATCTAGATCTCTGTTTCTAACCGTGACACAAGTTATATCTGGTGGTGAGAAATTTTTGGAGTTTTTTATGGAGCTGTTCAGCTGTATAGGCTGAACCTTGGTTTATCTAGAATCTGGAGAGGACCTGATCTGGCTTCAGCAGTTCTGAAACACTATAAAAGCAGCATGGCTTTCTTCTAATATAAGTCTTAATGCAAGGAGAAGATGCATTAATCAGGTAGGTCTCATGTTCATTTCTTCCACTATAAATGAACTTCAAGGCCTTGCCCCATTAGTTGATCAGTTTGAAGTCAAGAGATGTTAAATATAGGCCTTACATTTTAGGTTTCCTCATATGTCCTCTATTTCCCAGCTTTAAATATCAGTTAATGACTTCTCCATATAGCACTTCTCTTTAATTTCTAGTCAGAGGCTGTAAATGTGCACTGTTAGTCAAAAATATGTTATCTGCATTTAGTGGTGGCTTCTGGAGCCCTCACCATGAAGTTACCTCACAATCGCATCTCTCCTCACATGATTTTCTGAGTACTGCCAGGAGAAGAATGGAAAATAACTATGAAATAAAAGCAGATTCTGCTCCCATTACAGGCAATGAAAACTCTACTTTTACTTCTACTTGTTCATAATAGTGGGGGGAAAAAATGAAGTGGAAACAAGCACAACAAAACACCTCTGCCAGCTATCTTTAAGCTAACCAAGGCTTCCACTAATGAGGTGGTCTGGCATTTTGAGAAAGACAGGTTTTTTCCAGAAATGGAAAAAATATGCTATTTTTTTTTCCTTCGACTCTGAGAGCATAGTGAGAGAGAAAGAAATCGTATTTCAAAAAGCAAACTTTTAATGCTGTCTGTATTATTTAGTGCTTACAGACACCAGTATAGTTTCTTGTCAGTTATGTTTTTGCATATTTGTTTGTTAGATTACTAAGTACTTTCCTAAAAACTAGATATTTGCTGTATTTACAGATTCATCTCAGTGACTGTGAAATTCCTGAGGATGTTATCACTTTCAAGTCAGATTAACAGAGTAATTTCCAGGTAAGATATTCTAGAAGATAATTCAATACCTTGGACAATTGCATTGTCTATTAAACAGAGCAGAACTGTTTGTGGAAAAGATAACAGTCTAGATCACAAGATAGCACCAGATTTTATGTTACGATCTCCAGACGTCTTAGGGAACTTAATGCACCCAGGATTGGTTCAAGTCTAATATGCATGGCAGAAATGTGAGTTCCAGTTTCCTTTTCCCTGAGACTGTGTGGGGAAACTCTGTCTTCCCAGGGACTACAGAGGACAGGCTGCCGTGGTTTGTTTGTGCTTTGGCAAGAGTATTCACCACAGCTGCTCCTGGAGTGCCCAGTGGTATCAAGCGCAGAAAAGAAAAGTTTTCACCTTTACTAAGACAGTGTGGTGTTCAGGCCTTTCTAATATATACCCATCAGAGCTGGCTGTATGTTTTCCTGAAGACCACAGATGTCCAGGAGGTTCTGATGAGTCACATCTGTCTCTGAGCTTGACACGGTGTTAGTTTCATTGCCTATTTTAGGTAGATGGTGGTACAGGTAGACAGTGGTGGCTAATGATGCAATGAGCTGTGAGTGCAATTGCTTTTTCATTTCAGCTTAGTTTGGCCAGAAAGTAAGAAAGGGCTCCCAAAGCAGGACAAGTGTCTTGACATGACACCACAACGCAAAAACGGATTACAGCTTCATGGAGATCTGTACAAAAATTGACAGCTGGGGACTTTGTGAGTTTCTGTCTGGAGTAAAAAATTCAGTGTAAGTGCACAAAAGAGTGTGAGGAGGGAGCATTTCAGCTCCTTCAACTCTGTGCACAAAACCTCTCAGGGCTTGAGATAGGATTTTAGTATTTCTCACAGTCTTCAAATGTTGTGCTGTGTTAGGATGTGCTTATACATAATTTTGTAATTGAAATGGCATGTTTACTGTTCCATTTCATGCTTGATTGTGTTTTTTAAACACCTTTACTCATGCTGCTAGAAGTGGGATTATAATTAAAATGTCCTGTTGAACACCTTGTTCAGTTCAATGAAGGCATAATAGAAGTATAAATACTTGTTCTCATTGACTCTATGATGTCAGCACAACAAATGCAGTACGTGTCAGGAAACTAATCTCTTTTTTACCAAGGCATCTGTAAAGAGGGAAGGGGAAACAGAATCTGTGGCTGGCCAAAGTGGGGACCTCTCTACAGGAGAATAGGAAAGTTTTTGAGATACCGTTAACCTTTTAGATACAGCGAACCTGAAGTTCCAAGAGGCTTTCTGAGTGTTGGCAGACATACTAAAGGAGTTAAAGGCAACAATATTATCCTTACATGAAGTCTTTTCTCTAAAGATTTCAAAGTATTTTCCAAGCATTAGTAAGTCAAGCTTTAATAAGCAGGTTCATGTTATTATAATACCTGTGGTATATATGTGTTAACTAGGGCATGGAATGTTTGAGTGATTAGCCAGTTACTGGCAAAAATTAGACAGGAATTTGCTTCTCTACTCACAGTCCCTTGGCCTAAACACTAGGCAGTACTTTCTACAGTAGCTATTAGGAAAAGCTGAGTTTGGTTGTAAGGTGTGAAAGAGTAATATACTTCTTACTATTTCTTCTTACACATTCTTTAAGATGTGTACAGTTATGCAGACTTCATGTCTTTGTGGTAGGATTGAATTACAACACAGAGTTCAAAATGTTTATAGTTCAAAGTCCAGTGGTTACAGCACTTTAGCATTGCAATAATGGTTTAATTTTCTTATACTCTCAGTTACCACCAGTGAAGAGATTCCTACCAATGCTGGCAGGCAATTGTTCAGTCTTATGGAGCTTCAAGTAACTGTACAGTTTGAAAGTCTGAGTAAGTAGGAAAATTTCAATATTTAGTCTTATGTTTGATGCTTAGTTGGGCAATTTACTCAGTACTTTGGCTAGTACTCTTCCTCTGCAAAGACAGGGAAAATAATGTCTGTGTTCATTGTGCTCTTCAACTGCTGCAATAGTGTTTTTAATATACTAGATACTGGGCTTTACACTGTACTTACACCAGGAAACTTTATGTTCATGTCCTTTCACTGACTGAAAGAGGGCTCTCAGAACCAATCCCAAGATGTATAACATTTCTGTGCCAGAGCAGGACTCGCCAGTCAGTGGCTGCCTTACAGGGAAATGTACATGAAGCAGGTAAATAAGCAGATCCAGAGGGTGTGCAAATTGTCTTCTGTGCCCAGTTCCATCAACTGTAAGATCGACAGATGTCATGCAGGAAGGTGGTTCACAGGATTTCCTCTTAAGAAAAGCTGTGAGAAAGTAACAAAGTGGGAGGTTTTCCTTCTGGAACAGGGGAAGAAGGTGGTACATAGGACAGACCAACCCAGTGCTCAGAAAGATTCACTGGGATAAGTCTACTGAACATGCAAGACAAAATGTACAAGAATGTTTTTGTCAGATGGGATTGCTGCAAAACTTGGTGGATTTCTTTGAGCGTCTCATTATAAGTACAGGTGCAGCTCTACACACCCACACGTGCTGTGTTTATTTTAGTGTGTGATCACATAAATACCTGCAGGTGTGAAACTGAAGAGATAGCCGTGCTGAGGCTTGAATATGGAGTTCCACATCTGTATTTACTGCCTTTTTCACACAATGAACTAGTGCAGTCTGTGGGTTCTCTTCCCACCTCGTACATGCACTTTATAAGTAATTTTGAAGGAAATTCAGTCCTGGTAAATACATTTAATGGATGGATGTCAAGGTATAGAATCAAAATACATGAAGGTGAGGGAGTACGGAACAGCCATCAGTTCAGTGTATTGCACATATATATACATTAGAAGAAGACTAATTTCAGATAAAGAAGGTCACGTCAGGTTAATATACAGTCATAAACCCATAAAATTGGAATTTAATATGCCTTTTGAGGCATCTAAAACTTGTGTTGGCCTTCAGTACAGCGGCTGGTTTCTCTGTTCTGGCACACACAGAGGTGTTTCCTTGTGTGTAATACTGTCATATAGTCTGTAATACGTGGGGTACAAATCATGGCTACTGCAAAAACCTTTGAATTCACTGATTCATGTGGATGTAAAAATCTCAGTTGTGGTATTGCATTTATGCAGCTGTTGCATTAAGTATTCATCTGATGCTAACTATCTGGTTACTAAGGCCCTCCTCAGTGTCAAAAATAGAAAACAGCTAAAAGATATTAACTGGGAATGGTCTTTTGCATGTAATAGTTGCCTGCAGAGGCTTAATGTTCTGAAAGTTTCACACTTTTTGTAAGGCCTTCAGTGATAACTTCTGTTTTTCAAAGAGAAAAATAAACCTTCCAAAGTTCCTTTGAACATTTCCACAGCCTTTCATAGTGTTAGCTGTGAAAGTTACGGTGTCACGTTCTTAATAAGGAGGTATGGGAATGGTGTTTTAGTAGTCTCTGCTGCTTTCTTTGTGAAAACTATCTCAGGATGCTTAGGGATTCTTTGGCAATAACTTCCTTTTGCCCCATGATTCCACAGGGATCTTCTCTGTTATTATATTCATTTGAAGATATTTTGGAGAAAACATGGAACTCAAGAGCATTCAGGAAAACCCTGTTTATGCCTCTGACTGGCTGAAGACAGGGAGTGAGTCTTTCTGTGACAGTAAATGTGGAAAAACCACATTGCTCAAAACTCAATTCAGCAAAATTTTTTAAAATAGTACTGCAAAGAAAAGGAAAAAAAAATAGGACAAATTTTTGTTTCTGATGTGAATGTCTCTGCTTTGTCCAGAGGAACCACAGCTACCATCTGTGACTCGTGATAGCGACTGCGCTTCTATGCAATGGAGAAAGGGACAGAAGCAGCTAGAGCAGTAGAAGAAATAACACTGTGTTAACAAAGACTTCAGCTGAGGCAAATTTACTTCCCTGAGAATTAGCCGGGGTATCTCTCCATGACACACTTACTTTAGAATCACAGCATGTTGCAGTTATTAGACTCTGGCAGGCTCCTAGGTAGGAACCGTGTCCAAGAGCCTTTATTTCATCTGCTCCAATTGAGAAGAGTGTGGCAGTTTCTTTTGGTTGAGCCTTGCTATAACGATCTGAGCTTTAGTCACCGTGAGGTTAGCACACTGCAAAGCATTCAGCTGGCGTTACAACCAGAGACAACTGAGCTCCAAAAGTGAGTGCAGACTGTGTCTATCTACTTATTAAGTGACGGGTCATGTGGAGTGCCCGTTACCCAGTAATTGGTGCTAGCTGCCAGTTAGCATTCAGTGGGACTTGGCGCATTTGTATAGCCCTTACAGACCAGAGTGGCCTGGGATTGTTCTTGCCTTATTTGCTGCAATTGTAATCAGATGGTGGCTCTCTGCTTCGCAGATCTCCCAAACTCAAACTGAAGGGCACGGGGGAGTGTGGGATCTCCCTAGAGAGTTCAGCCAGAGGGATGCCTGGGTCTCAGGGCTCTGTGGTAAGGCTGCACTCCAGTGACCCCTCTGCTTTCCCTGGCTTGCAGGTTCCTTCCCTGCACCACAGGAGAGGGAAAGGATGGAATCGGTGGTAGGTGACGCAGTGCCTACACAGCTCTAAGCAAGTCTTTAAAGATGAGACCCTGGAGTGTTTTCTGTCCTCATGGAGCCCACAGGCAGCACTCAGATGCAGAGTTCAGACACAAAGATGGGGAAGTCTTTCCAGAAGGGACTGTGTAGGCAGACACACACACATATTGCTGCGTAAGATACATGCTCTTGCAGCTTTGGTTTGGGGAACCCTTTTGTTCTCAGGCTGCCAACTGCGGGCACTGCTCTGAATTGCAGCAGGCTGTGAGGGAGCGAGGAGGAAAGTGCACGCCGTCCTGTGGGTCAGCACCGGGTGCGATGACCTCGCGCACACGGGAGCAGGATGGGGCTCTTTTCACACCATTACTTCCCGCAGAATTACGGTTCTTTTTTAATCACAGAGCAGAGCGGCACTAGACCCAGAGGTTAGCAAGGCGGTGATTGAGTGCATACGAGCGGCGTGCTCTCTGCAGTCCCGCGGCCGCGGACCCCCGCTCTGCGCCGCGATGGCCCCGGCAGCCCTGCGCCGGGCGGCAGCGGGAGCGCTTCGCCGGGTTGCCCGGGAGGTGGCGCCCTTGATCGCAGAGTGAGGGGCGGGCGGGCGGGCCCGGGAAACTCATCCGCCCCCCCTCTGTAATTTAGGAAGTATTATAGCCGAAGTGTTTTCAACTGATTATTATGCATGAGTAAAAATTCCATGAATGTGTAACATTTTCGCCTGTATTTCCCTCTTTTATAACATCATTTAAATTCCTCATTAATAATTTAGAAATGTTCTGGATTTTAATCACTTTTCTCATCACCGCCACCTCCGCGGCAGAGCGCTGCCCGTTACCTGAAGGTGACATGGAGGCAGCGCTGCCTCACAGGCACTGCCCGGCCCCGCTGCTGCCCAGCCCCGGGCCCGCGCTCCTTCCTTAGGCAGACCAGTGTACAAACACCGAGGTCTGAGCAGGTCGCTGTTAATAAAAATTGCGAAAAATGGATTTTTTGCTGTTGCATCTGAGTTTAATTATGGTGGTATTTGTTTGATAGCTTGTTACTGTAAATAAAAGAGATAAAAGCAGCCCTTCACTCGAGTAGCTCTAGAGCTGTGAAATATGTACCTAATTAAAACTATTGGTGTAAGAGGCTAATAAAGTACATGTGCCTACTAGATGTCTTATTCTAATGAATCTCGGCTAATTTGCTTTGAGTGATGAATTTCAGTGTTAGTAGTAAGGGCTGAATAATGATGGAATTTATCACGAGGTGCGGGGACTGGTGGAGGACCGTGGGGGCTCGGGGAGAGGCAGGGAGAGCCCCTGGGTGCAGGGCTCCGGTGCTGCAGAGCAGCAGGGCTGAGCTCGGCCTCAGCCTGAAGGCTGCCAGCGCCCAGCCCAGGCCTCGGAGGGCTCCAAGTGGTGGCACAGGAGTGCTGGTGGGTGCCATCCTCACATCCTCCCCTTTTTTTCTGCCGGCACTGGTGAGGAATGGGCTGTGGCATGCTTCTCCAGACTCCCAAACCAAGCGCAGATGGGTTATCTAAAGCATTTCAGATGGAGCTTTGGTCTTGTGCCAGCAGCTAATCAAAGTCTTAATTCTGGAAAAGACAAAGGCCAGGCTTTCCAAGCTTCCTCCCTCTGGTTTCTCACAGAGATGTGGCACTTCTCAAACCCTTCTTGCCCTATGCACTGTCTGCATCACTCAGGCTGTGGGGCTGTCTGTGGGCAGCAGGCAGCTTGCACCGGTCTAGTGGGTGATGTCCATGAACGTGCAGACCGACAAGGGGCTGCTTCATGTGGGCCTGCGGGCACCTTGTCCTGAGTACACCACAACAAAGTCAGACAAGAGCGGTGTGCGTTGACAGCCCCGGCCCTGAGACTGCCATTGGACTTGTTCTCAGAAAGAGGGAAGCTGAGATAATAATAAAGGGGCTGGTTAAGCAGAGAAAAAGCCTGCAGAGTAGCACATATTTTTATTGCTTTTCTGCAGTACAGCAGAGAAAACATCCCAAGGCTACATGTCTATTGTAGTCCCCAATGGTGAGTATTTAAACATTCACATGTGTGCACGTTCTTGCAGCTCCTTCCACTTGTGACACGGTGGGAGGGTGGTGGGGCTGCCATTCTGGCATGCCCAACTTTAAGCCAGGGCTGGTGCAAGTCTGCAGGGCTCCAACCTCATATCTCCTTGCAACATGTGCCATACAAGGGCTTTATTTATAACACAGGCTTTATTTATATATTTATTTATAAGCAATCTGGTTCATGCTGTCTACGCTGGAGTTAGTCCTGTTGAGTTGAAGTTACTTGCTGAAAGTGTGTGATAGTTGCAGCT